ACAATCAGGAGAGATATTTGATAGTTGGTGCTTGAGAAGACTAGACATGTATCTGCAATTGACATGAATGGAAACGAGTAATAAAGTATATTCATTGCTCGTTATTCTCTACTAATAGTTCATTAAAGACTGTATATTATGGCTATTTTGCACATCCCTTTCAAGATTTTCAAAGGTTTATTGACATATCATATACACAACTACGGTGTAGTTATGCAGTGAATGAAACACTTGGGTCACAGGTTCCTCAACAGTGCATTACAAGACATCTATCAATATGTGTGTACCTCCACCATTAAACTGTCATATTCTGCACATTTCTTATTCTATCTACATAAGAGTATAATTCATATGTATAATATCAGTTAAAATAAGTGCTTCAACATAGTTACCATTGCAGGAAAGCAATATATTAGACGTTAAGTACTTTGTCAGGCTTAATATTTATCTGTAGATAGATAACCCCAAAGTTTTTTTCTTATTTAAAAGAAGACCTTAATCTGTTATTTAATGTTTAAATAAAGGTTAATTCGTTTTTCTGTTTTGCACCTCCTCCTATTAATATCTTTGTACATTCTGCACTAAACTGTTTTATTGTAGAGATCACTTATAGTATCTTCTTGATTTTTTATATTCTATATTTATACTTTCCCCCTATGAAAGTATGTACTCTTAATATTTTTGTAATCAAATAAAACACAATAATTCAATAACGTGCTTTAACCACTAGGCGGTGCACACAAGGTACACACAGCCATAATAACTTTGTATTATTAGTGTAGGACACTTTTGTTTTCGTACAACATCTGAAGATGTGTAGTTTTATGCATGCTTTCACATAATTGTACAGCATATTGCTATACTATTTCAGACTCAGTATTTACATTCTTACATTCAAAGAAAATCAGTAATATCTTTAAAAACTACAGTCCTTTTCTATCAGCTGTGCACCGTTATGGTGTAAATATAACCTATCTGTGAATTAGATCAAATGTAAAAGTCAGCCGAATTAGTGTTGATACTGCAAGGAGACGTATTGTGTGAAGAGAAATTGAAGATGTTGTTTAATTGTTGAAAATATTTATGATCCACGTGAAGTATTCAGTTTCGGCGGCATTTTCTCAGTTTTTCCAAAGGTCTTCTCATCAGGGCTCTATAAATAAAGAACTACGGCAGATCTGTAATATACAATGCAGCCGAACCGTGTATTACAATGCCGTTATGTGACGACTTTCAAAGAGAAAAGCAAGAGCGCTCGGAATTAAGTATTATTTTATTCTTTTAAAATGTTTTCCGGATTTCATATCATATAAACACCAAATCCCAGCATGCATTGCGGCTAAAACATCCAATAAACGAGCTCTGAGCCCCATTTATTTTCCTCACAGACGGCAACAAACATCCGAAATTATACGATTTCAAATAAAAGCAATAACTGTGGCTTGATATTGAGTAAGAACATGTTTTTATGAACCACACAGCTTCCGGTCTTCCTCGACCCGACCGGAGAAAAAGACGTGCTGCAGGCAGTAGAAATACATTGCTTTTAAAATCGTGTTGTGCAACACGAAAAAAAGGGGCAAATCGTGTTGGTGAAAACGAATCAATAGATTAAATATCGTGTTGGTGAACACGAAATGCCGTGAGACTGGGTTGGTACACCCGCTACAGGAGACTTGCCCCTTCGGGTAGTTGTGGAGCACCAAAGACGGGCAGACAGCAGTGGATCATAAGGCTGCAGTTTGCACACGCTATTTGTTGTTGTTTATCACGCAGTCTGTTCTTCTTCTCTGTCTTCCGGTTGTTGCCTCTTTTTAATGACAAATACACACTACCGCTGCCTGCTGGTAATGAGAGTTATTGCCACTCACGCACTGAAGTCTTTGCGGTGTGTTCCCGTGCGACACATGGCCAAGACGCAGGAGAACACCGCGACGCAACAGCCGACGTCGGCGTCGGCGAGTCCTCTGGTGACTGCTTGGTGTGTCAGGGCCTTTACACGTGTTAATAGTCAAATTCCAATAGTTAAGTAAACTATCAAAATCATCCTAGTGACCACAGTGGTCAGTCTAGTTACCCAGGAATTTTGAGTTGAAGAATTACAGGAATATTATGTCCTAATGTTCTAATAATGTTAAAATATTTTAGTAAATTGTTACCACAGAACATTTGCATAATGTTTTAAAAGTAAAGCACGTTATCCTACTCTAAAATAATAACATTCTGGCAACATAAAAAAATCTAACTTGCAGCTGAAAACGTTTTAAGAATAGTAGGGCATAATGTTCGAACAATGTTATCAAAAACATTTGAAGAAGGTCATCACAAAACATTTTAAGAACGTTATCCTACCTTTCAGAAGAACATTCTGGGAACCAAAATAAAACTTCCCGCTGAAAACATTCCTAGAACTATGAATGGTAACATTCTCAGAATGTTTTTAGAACCAAACATTTCTAGCTGGGAGGGCCCCTTTAATCCTCGTAGGGTAATTCAGCAACAGCAATAGGAGTTACACAGGATAGGACAGGTAGGAGTTCACAGAATAACAAAAGTTATATATATATATAAGATATCAATAAAAAAACTATATGATAATATAAACACAGTGCATCTGGAGATAAACACATACAGTATGAATGAAAATAATTAGGAATATGAATAAATATATGTCTCTGTCTCTGAATATAATGAGTTATTTTATAAGCCAGGGATTTGAGATGATTTTATTCCAATAAGTCAGCATGTTCTGCCTTATTATAGCACATTATGTTATTCTCATATCTGCTGTGTTGGCACTGCATGAGCTATTTAAAACTTTTGCCCACCATTGTGCTTTCTGTAGGTGTGACCAATAAGTGGGAAGGGAATAAGAGGCCCTCCTATCTCCACAACATGACATAAAACACAACATGCATGTAATTGTGACAGCACATAAACAAAGAGCGTGGTGTAATGTGTCCACTGAGGCGGACTCATCCTTAGACTCTAAGTGCCCCGTCTTCAGGGAGGTAAACAGCAGCGTAGAGCCTTAGTAGGTCACAGCTTAAAGTGCTCTATGTATTATTAATAAAGTCTGTGCTAATTGAAAGTCATAACGCCTTAAATGAATTGTCTGGGGCCGACATCACAACCTGTCCACCTGCAGACTGAGGATCCTCTTAGATGGAGACAAATTTAGATTTTCTATTTTTTTTCTGTTTGTAAGGTTTCACATAATAAAAAGGTATTCTGATTCTGATTGAACAATGGCAGAATTACAGTTGATGTTACATAACAAAGACTGTAAGCTTTGACTTGATCTTTGCTTATTTTGTTAACTCATCTGTTCTGTCTGAAGACTTGTTGTTTTTCGGTCCTTTAACATGTTTACTTTAGTAATGCTATGATAATTTTGATATTTCTTCGAAAAATGGTGTTCGTAATGTAATTTAAGAAAGCCATAATATAAAGTGATACCAAAGAGCATCCGAACACAGTGTGTTTACTGCAAGCTATTACTTTGAGTTGATGTCGTCGTGTAAGTGTGTATTCGTGTGTGTGTGTGTGTGTGTGTGTGTGTGTGTGTGTGTGTGTGTGTGGTGTGTGTGTGTGTGTGTGTGTGTGTGTGTGTGTCTGTGTGTGTCTGTGTGTAGTCAGAGTATGTTATGGAAACATGCTGCTGGCATTTAGAGCATGTGAAATGTCTCTGCCTAAATATACTCAGAGGTTAAATATACTGTCATATTGATTGGCCGATGTATATCATCTTTATAGAAGTGTGACAGCACAATATAATGTCAAAGAGTTATACCTGAAAGACATTGGGCACATCTGAACATTTCAGTTCTGCACTTTAGTACAGAACTGAGGTGCGTGTACTACTTGAGTATAATTTTATTCCACCTGATCTCCACTTAATTTGAGAGGTAAACAGTGTACTTTCTACCCCTCCACTGTATTTATCTGACAACTAAAGATACAGCATTAGATTGAGATTCAGCATATAGAATATGTTGCATTGTTATGCAGTAAATCAAACCACCAGCAGTACATAAAACATGCAGAATCACCTCAACCTTTGCCAGATACAGTATTAAATTGCTGCTTTCATGTTGATGCATCAGTATTAAAAATCAAATATTTGTTGTAGTACTTTTGCCTGCATTGTGGGGACTTTACCTTTACTTATTAAATATATTTGGCAGATATTATATCTGTACTTTTAGTTATATGTCACTGCAATTTGAATGCAGGTATTCGCCTTGTGATAGAATCATTTGGTTTACTATACTGAGGCCAGTGGTGTAAAGTAACTTAGTACATTTACTCGACTACTGCAAGTACAAATCTGAGGGACTTGTACTTTACTTGAGTATTTCAATTTACTTACACGTGTAAGTGTGTATTTGTGTGTGTGTGTGTGTGTGTGTGTGTGTGTGTGTGTGTGTGTGTGTGTGTGTGTGTGTGTGTGCGCGTGTGTGTGTGTGTGTGTGTGTGATGAACATAATACACTCATACCCATTCATTTCTATGGCGGTATATTCTGACCGAAAACATCATGGGTGTTTCACTGTTGAATAAATCACAACAAAATCAATGCAAGTGGTGATCATCAATTGTATATGTTCTGAGGCCTAGTGTGGAGGATAATAGCCTATAAGGTATTGAGGCAATTGGATGAAAAACACAATATTTATAATAAAAAGTCACTCGGTCACTTTTGACCCGAAACGCAAGAGAAGGGTTAAGTACACGATTTGAGTACTGTTCCCACCCACTGAATGAATGATCTCAATATTAGCTTACAGTATTTAAAATAAGAATATAAATAAACAACATTAAAGTCATATTATGACTTCTGTAGTTTTTCTCAGATCTTTTGACATGACTTTAGATGTTTAGATTGAAGCAAGTGTGTGTGTGATCATACAGTGCAGTATTCAGATGTACTCCAATCGAGGTGAGGGACAACCCCAGTGCGCATGCGCAGCGTAGTCATCTGACGGGTGAGTGTTGCCGCTACACCGACAGGGCCACCGCTGTAACACAGGAGTCAGACACACACAGCCTCCATGAGGGACCGTCTCCTGCTAGAATAACACAGTTAAACAACCGAGGAGTAACCGGGATCACCGCCCAGACGTTTGGAGGTCGGTGAAATTCCCCCGGAGATGTAGCCAGCAGCGCGGCTTTGGGTCGGTGTGTTCGCTCGGTCTCTGCATGGCTCTTCCCGGGGATGCCATGAAAATCAGAAGAGCCGACTGAGAGCCCGCTGCTCTTCGCTATCTCAGACACGGTGGCGGCGGCAGAGGTGGAGAGCGATGGATCCTGGTGGAACAATCCAAATTAGGTAGCGTTTACGAAGAGAACCGAGGAGAGGAGAGCGTCTCCGTTTTGCAGTTTAGTCGCCGCCGGAGCCGTCTTAAGGATGGACTTCACCCAGCTCCGGAACATCATCAGCAGATACGTAAGGGCCCCGTCTGTCAACACTGTCACAACTGTAGCTGTGTGTCTGCAGGTGCATGGATGTACAGTAGTGCATGATACATATTACATTTGTTTCGGTGCATTAACTTGCACCACACTGACTTCACAGGGCAGCGAGTGCACGCACAGGGTGATGTGCATCTCATCTGCAATGATAAACATTTCACTGAGAAGCTTTGGCAGACCATTGGCTGTGAGCTTTACAATGTTTGTGTGGAGCTGAATGGGGAATGTGCCAGTGGCTACAGATGCAGGGATGGCCGGTGAATGTGCAGAATAGAAATTAACTTGGCTGGCCCAGTTAAATTGCTTTCGTGAGAGCTACAATATGCAATGCACACTATCAACAATCACATGGCTTCCCCTGGTTCTGCAGAGGAAATAAATCCCACTCAGGACTCATAGAGCTCAGAGGCCTGGCTGGTACTCAGTTTTACTCTTGCTTTTACTCCCCTGCAGCCTGATAGAGAGATAAGTTGCTAGGTTAAACTAGAAGGGTTTTAAAGTTGTTGTTACTCTCACTATTTGGTTTATTATAAAGCACCAAGGGTGTCCTGGGGTCAACATTTAAAAACATGTAATAAACAGTGGAGATAGCCAACATAAGACATGCATAAGAGAAAAGCCTTTAATATGTATGTACAAACCTACACTAATGACTTTCTCAACATAGTTCCAAGCAAAAATACAAATCCTTATATTTATAGCATCCCTTAAAGATGTTTTCATTTGAAACACTGATTTATGTTTTGATGTTAGGCAGTGTCAGAGGTAAATAATTCCATATTTGCATCGCGAAACAACTTTGTGTTTTAAGAAAATAATGTTTGCCTTGGGGAGTTAAAACCAGCTTTTTTGTTTCTTTGTTGCCTGTTTGGTGGCATATGACTCTAAATCCTGTTTTTATTTTTAATTGGACTATTTATGATTGAACTATCCATCTTCAAAGTACAAGTGTAGCAATCATCCTGTCAACAACTTTTAACCAGTTAAGAGTCTAGACCAGTGCATACTATTGATAATAATCAGGGGAGGATACTCAAATAGTTAATTAAAGTAAAATAAGTTTTAATACAGTAGAAATGCGTTGTGCTGCTTTCAGATTTGAACGTTCTTTTTTCAAAAAGGCTTATTATTTACTATTATTCATGTTCAATTATTTGTTATTATATTTTATAATATTAATCTTAATCTGAATATTCAAAGTAACTGAAACTTTCAGATAAATACATACTTAAGTAAAGTACCTCAAAGTTGTATTTATGTACATTACTTGATTAAATGTACTTTTTTTTTTACCACTGATTAAGGGACATTGGGAACACAAACTTCAAAGTACCTCAAGACATCAGGAAAATGAAGTGAAAACAATAATACAGTGTAGTAGCAATGTATGGAGTAGAATCATAAAGTTGCAAGAAATTGAAAAACTCATGAACCTTTAAATTGTACTTCAGTAAATGTACTTAGTTACTGTCCACCACAGATATAAGTTAGCAGGGTGTGCCGCTTTGTTTTGAACTAGCTGCAGAAAACACAAGAGAAAACACGAGCGTCCTTATCATTATTCGTTATCAGAGATCTGTCTAATAGCAGGAAATGTCCACATATTAACAGAGCAGATGATGGTGAGCTGTAACTACATTACTGGTTGTTCTGGTGTCACACACACATCGCTGCCATCAGCAGTCTCCGCTCATCAGCCGGAGCAGGAAGCAGCTGCTGGCGGGGCGGCTGAATTAGAGAAGGAAGTGTCTGCAGGGAGACAAGGTGACAGGTCTGGTGATGATCATCAGAGTGGGCACCTCCGAGGGTCCTCACATCTGCTCCAAGTCTGAGACCCTTCACCTCACCTGCCTCAGGTGCTGGGAGATAACTATCTGTGTGTTGTGTGTGTGTGTGTGTGTGTGTGTGTGTGTGTGTGTGTGTGTGTGTGTGTGTGTGTGTGTGTGTGTGTGTGTGTGTGTGTGTGTGTGTGTGTGTGTGTGTGTGTGTGTGTGTGTGTGTGTGTGTGTGTGTGTGTGTGTGTGTGTGTGTGTGTGTGTGTGTGTGTGTGTGTGTGTGTGCGCGCGCGCGTGCGCGTGTGCAGGACTAATGTCAGGGGAAATCAGATCCACGGGTGAAGAAGAGGGGAGGAGGAGAAGGAGGCGAGGGTCAATGAACACGCCCCTTATTCCTCACCCTTCTTCATCCCTCTGCAACACTGTTAAGTAGACAAGGGATTAATCATTAATTCAATTATCCAGTTATTGATTCAGAATTGGAGGGATGTTTGATGTATATCTGGACGTCTTATTACTTGTATTGCCCTCCATTAACCCCGTCATATTCTGAACAGCTGCTCCCTTAATGAGGCTACATAGAAGAACAAACATTACATCATGCAGGGTGATTAACATGTGATCAGCAAGAGGCCTTTTCTCCGGACAGAGAGAGCAATAAACTCCCTTCAAGGTCACTGCCCAAAAGAAGCCACACATACTTTAATTATTTAGCTATTTCAAAAAGTAAAGCTTCCTCAGGCATGAAAGGATATACTTCTGATAACTTTACTCCATGCAGCGGACACGTTTATGAGCATTTCTCTTCTTATTTTGTTATTTTATTATAACTGTTTTGGACTATTTTTGTGTGAAGGAAATAAGGCTTTTTCACTTGTGTTGCACAAGCTAGGCAAACTCTGCTTTGCTTGTAATTGGTTTTGTTTATTGAGTACATTTGTATATATATATATATATATGTCTTGATATTATACTTTTTTGGGGGATAGGATACTGTAATAAAGTTATTTCCAGTGTTGCCATTTGTGTCCTACAAATATTATGAAGATGGAAACAGGCATTCAATGTTTGACACTAAAATAAGGAAACATTCAAAATAAAAAAAACAATTTAAAATAATTGAATCACCTTTATTAGCCAAGTGTATACAAGGAGTTTTACTCGAGTGTATTGCTTTCCTCTAAATAAAGTTGCACAAAAATTGACAAAACAGCTAGGAACAAGGACAACAAGCTGGACAATTTTACAAATAAAAAGGGCTTTAATATACACAGGTTTGTGAAAAAATAGGTGTATACATGTTTAAATGTAAAGACACACTGTTTATCAAAAATTAAATGCAATAAAAGAGAAAATCTAGTTAAGCATAAGTCTGGAAGTAAACTATACATTTTAGACATCCAAAAAATATTGGCGGTATGATACTTGAAGATGGTTTGCTAGGGCATCTGTTCAAACAAGACTTCTGTTTTTTATTTGAGATAATTTTATGATTTGTCAAACCGTCATCTTGACCATCTGGTGCTTCAGCTGTCACTGTGAAGTGAGCGTAACCTTTTTTTATAAATTGTAATTATTCAGTTCCATTCAGTCCAGGACTTCATAATGAGAAGGAAAACGTATAAGCCTGTTTTTCGGTTCCAAGAAAAGTTACCAGTGAATTGAGCCTGCACAGTTCAGTACATCGTTTTTGTGAAGAGAAATACGAAGTCATGGAGTTTTTCAACGCATGAAGTTTAAATGTAGTTAGTTTTGTCTTTTGGCATAAAATAATGGCTAAGCCTTCATGCAATAAGATATACAGTATAATAGGTGTGTGTATGTGTGTGTACTTTTGTTCTGCTATCTCAGCAGATACCTGGAACAGGACATAACAGGAAGACTTTATTTCCTAAATAGATTTATTTGAAAAATTATCTCATGTGGTTTGAACAGATCTTGTATGTGCCTGTGTGTGTGTGTGTGTGTGTGTGTGTGTGTGTGTGTGTGTGTGTGTGTGTGTGTGTGTGTGTGTGTGTGTGTGTTATATGGGTCCACCCCCTTGTCTCTAGTGCCTATTTGTCGCCTGATAATAATAATAGCCACGGCGTGATGCCTCAGACGGGCACAAAGCGTAAGAAATGCATGAGGTCAGGATCTAGATAAGGAAGATGCCGTTGGTCTTATTAAAGATACACATTATCTTATAGGGGCTTAAACATGTTCTCTTATTTATAAAATGTACCTTATCACTTTCACAAAACAATATTAATATCTTCCACTGCTTCTCTTGTCTGCAGCTTGATTCACCCTTACCCCCCCCCCTCAGTCCTCACCCTGCTTTGCGTTTTATCTTTGAATGTATGACTGCTATTCTTGCGTAGACCTCTCACAACCTCAGCAGATAAAAGGGAAAAGCCAGCCGTGTCTCTCTTTGATCAAATGGCTGCCAGCAGAGTCCCGGCGTGCTGAAGGGCTTTGGAAAGGTTTCTAGCAACTTTACAGCTCTTTGAGTCCCCCGGCTGGTGTTGAAAGGCAGAACACAACCTGCTGGATCTCTGTTTGCTACATTAGCGGCTACCAACGGTTAAGGGCAGTCTATTCTTGGCTGCAGCCCCCCTTAGAGACCAGGAGAAAGACAGGGGCTGTAGGTGACAAAAACACACAGGATTTTGTGTTTGGGGAAAAGCTTTTCCCTGCTGATTTCAGAGAGACAGCAAAGCATCTGCATCAAAAGACTTATTTTTCTCCTGCAGCGCAACCCTGGACAAAGAGGTTTAATTATAAGACACCGTTTCAAGCCTGTGTTAGGATGTTGTCGGTGTTAAAAGCAGATAAAATGAGGAAGAGGTTTTTTTTTTTTTAGGATTCAGATTACGGTGGCGGGAGAAAAGGAGAGCGAAGAGAGGGAGGGGGAGAGGAGAAGTAGCACAGCTGGATTAAAGACTTATGTAACAGTTGGATCACAGCAAGTCAAGTGGGAGCGGAAGCTGGGACAACAACAGAATACAAATGTCGTCATTTTATAGTTATCTTTTCATGTTTTTTATCCTTGGATTTTGCTGCAGGTACTTCATTATTTGCGTCACTGGGGTCTTGTGGTTTTTGTCATTAAGCGTTTAAGGCGGTATCTGCCGTCTGAAGGTCACTACATCTCTATTTCCAACCAACATAATGTGATTTTTGTTGTGGCACTTTCCCCCATATAATATCATCATAA